CCCGCCCCCGGAGTTTGATTTTTAGTTATGTGGTTGAAAATATTTTTAAGGAGAAAAGCAAAACCTCATAAATCTGACGCTGATTTTTCAATTTCACAGCAGATGTAAAAATAAAGTATGTCTTTTTTTCCCCCCTTTCATTTTAATTTTTTTTTTAATGTTTCCTAGCTTTTCAAAGATGACATTAGATATCTGCTGACAATGGATAAGCTGTGGAGGAAAAGAAAGCCTCCAGTGCCACTGGACTGGGCTGAGGTACAAAATCAAGGTAATTGTCCCTCCTCCCACTGTATATTTGTAAGTTATACCTGCTGTTTGTTAATGCATCTCTGTGATATGTACATTTTCTCACTGTCGCAGTCGAGTACTGAAAATGAACATAGTCATTCTTTGTGATTCCTCAAGATTTAAAGTTTTTCTCTATATAGAAAACGTTTTTTCTAAAACGATTTTGCGTTGTTATTTTAGATACTCAGTATTGGCTGCAGAAAATTCACATTTCACAATTACATGTTGGCTTATTCTAGGAGACCTTATCATAACCACTGATACATTTATCTCTGAAAGCAAGTTTTGTTGAAAATTACATTTGCTGTAATTTGTGCATGTATAGGTGATTGATATAAGCATAGCTATAGTTGCTGTTTTAAATGCAGATTTGTTACAAAGTGTTGGGGCTACTGTAGTTTAAGGATATTGTTCTTCAATTTAGAAAATATTTAATTTTGCTGAGATCGGAAAATTCTTAGCTCTTTGAGAGAACTTTTGTGGGATTTATAAGTATTCCTGACCTTAATATTTTTTTTTTCTTTTCCCAAAGAGAAAAACATATCTGACCAACAAAATGAATCCTCTGCAGTCTTGAAGGATCAGCAGGTTCTTGATGTCAAGAGCTATGCACGCTTATTTTCAAAGAGTGTTGAAACCCTGAGACTTCACCTGGCTGAGAAGGGTGATGGAGCAGAGCTTATATGGGATAAGGTTAGTTTGCCAAATACATAAGAACCAGTTATACTCTACATATGTAGTACAAATATTAATTGGACTCATTCAGTTTCATTCCAAAAGAGTACTACTTAGACCAGAAATGTCTGGTGCCTCACTGAAAGCACTTTCCATATGTAAACAAATACATACTTTAAACACACGATATTTTATAACTCACTGAGTGTAAGGATTAACTATTGTGATTTAAAATAACTTAATTCATCAACTTTAAAAAGCACAAATTCAGAAGTATTTGTCATATTTTGATTTTTTTAAATAAAAATTTTAATAATGCAACTTCATTTTTTCCTTTTTAGCTTTCTCTAAAACATGCTCTTATACAGTGGTTTGTAGGTAGAGTTCTACTGAGTTGTACATAGTAATTAACTCTGACGATAGGGATGTGGTATATTACGAGTTTGCTGAAGAGAAACAAGAAAAGCATTTTCTCTTTTAGCACCAGAGACAGTGTAATCTTCCTGCAGTCAGTTGTCATTTGGCATAAGAAAAAAAAGTAGTTTGTAAATATAGGGGGCACAAAATAGTAGAACAGTATTACAACAGACAGTAAAAATACTTCTTTCTGAAACACCAATTATTGAAACTGAGCATAAAACATTGTAAGACTTAGGATTTAGACATTATTTTGAACATACAGGGCATTTTATTAATACTAATACACTCATTCACTACTAAAATGTTAAGTGCAAGTTCTAAACAAGTGTATTTAAAGTATTACGGCTGTCTAAACATATCATTTGAAAGAGGAAGTGTATTGACTTTGAAATGGAATATTGTACAGACTTTTTTTTTTTTTAACTTTCTGTTTTTAAGGTTTTAGGAACCATGTGTTGCAAACTTTTTCCAATGAGTAATCTGATTTTTAAATACTTTTTATATTAACTTCTTGTCAGGATGACCCTTCTGCGATGGATTTTGTCACTTCTGCTGCAAACCTCAGGATGCATGTTTTCAGTATGAATATGAAGAGCAGATTTGATATCAAGTGTAAGGATAAAATATAACACTATTTTATTTAAATAATAAACTACTCATTTTCATTTACTATTAAAAATCTGCATACTCTTGCTTATTTTGCAGCAATGGCAGGAAATATTATCCCAGCTATAGCTACTACTAATGCAGTAATAGCTGGTCTGATAGTGCTGGAGGGTTTGAAGATTTTATCAGGAAAAATAGATCAGTGTAGAACGGTAAGTGGGAATAAGATACTTTACTTTCTTGTTACTTATTATTTGTTTAAAAGTCGCATTTAACCTGCTTTGACAATTGCGTAGTTTTACTGTCTCTCACTTGTTGCTTCAGTAGATTCTGCATGTGCTGGGAACTTCCAGCCGCAATGAAAACAAAAATGGAAGTCTCAAGAATCATTAAATTCCTCTGATTTAATGCAAATTGGCTGCTGGATAGGAGAGAGAACCAGACTGACATCACTTGAAACATGGGTGTTTCATGTCACAGATCTGTTTGGCACTAGCTGGTCCGTCAGCACAGGTGTCATTGTGGCCTGGCTGTAATACACACCTT